ACTTTTAGCAGAAATAGAAATATCACTACTACTTGCAGCTTGAGCTTGTCCACTCTTGAAGATTTCATCATCGAAATTATAGAGTCCATCAACCATCCTAGCACTGCCAATCATCTTCCCCGAATATAGGTCTTACAGTGAGAATCAAGAAATTTGATAACACAGTTAGAATCCTTGGTGAGTTTACTAGCTGATAAAAGATTGCATCAGAAGTTAGGCACACGGAGGACAAATTTCAAAACAAGGTTTTCTGAGACAACTATAGAACCTTTTCCTGCAACTGGAGACAAACTACCATCAGCAATATGAATTTTTAAGTGACCAGAACTTGGAAAATATGTACTAAACAAATGTGATAAACTAGTCATATGATCAGATGCACCAGAATCAATGATCCAAGGTGCCGGATTTAAAGTACTAGTGAGAGCACTTAAAGAGCTACCTTTTTGGGTAAGAGAATCTGAGGACACTTGAAACCTGAGTTTGGTTCAGCAGTTTGGAGAGATGATCAAGCTGCTCCTTACTGAATGGAGATGTCTCGGTTTCAGTAGTAGCCTGCATTCCATGCCCATTCTTGTCTCCAAATCTGCTTACCTTCCAATTTACTGGTTTTCATGTAGTTTCCAGCATGTTTTTGTTACAGAAATCACACCAGATCTTGGTTTTCTCTTCAATCTTCCGCTGTGGGTGATTTGTTGGTTTTGGATTAACTGCAGCTGCTGCCATTTCAGTGGCTGTTACATTGAGTGCAGAGTTCTCACTATGAGTGCTAGAGGATTTCTTTCCCATCATTACCAACTTGCGGCTTTCTTCCCTCCTAATTTCCAAGAAGCCTTTCTCTAGTGGTAGGTAGTGGCTGCATTGAGTCCAGCCAAAAATTCAAATACACGGTCCTTCTCAACTGTTTTCTTGAATTGGGCACTATCACCCACACACTTCCATTCAAAATCATAAAAGAGGTCAAGTTCTTGCCACAAACCTTGTAATATGTTGTAATACTTTGTAACAGTCTGGTCTCCTTGTCTTGTTTCTCGGATCCTTGTTTTAATTTTATAGACTTGTGTGGAATTGCCCAAGTCTGAGTATGTCTCACTCACTGCTGAGTCCCATAATTCTTTGGCAGTGGAGAGATACATAAATGTCTGGCCTATCTCCAATTCCATGGAGTTCGCTAGCAATGACATAATCATGGAATTTTCTGCATCCCAAACAGCATATGCTGGATCATCTTCCTTTGGGGCCTGCGTTGCACCAGTTAAATAACCAATCTTCCCCCGCCCTCGGACGAACAACTTTACGGATTGAGACCACCGTAGAAAATTCTTTCCATTCAGCCGATGAGTGGTAATTTGGAGGATTGGGTTGTCACCTGAACCGGATGAAGTGATCTGGGATTTCCGAGCATTTGAAGAGTAGACCGAAACTTCCTCGGTACATTGCGGATTTAACCAAAGAAATCATCCAGAAACGACGAACAGAAATTAAAAAAGAAGAATAAGTCTTCTATAATTCTGGTATAAACGACCAGAATTAACGATGAATGTTTGTTGATTTTATCGGATAATCAGCAGAACAATGGAGTAATTTACTGTCCTAGTGAGGGCAGCTCTGATACCATGAACACAAAAGTGAAAAAGAATAAATTCTGATATTCTCTTTTCATATCACATATGTTAGTTTACAGGCGTATATATATAGAAGTGTATTACAAATTCTATCTAACGAAAAGATATGTACAGATCATAATTCCTATAATATAGGAACTACTTATGTAAAATTAAAAAAAGTCAACTATCTAACTATGGATAATTCCTAAAAATCCTCCCTAACTAATTTCCTAATAATTCAGCCTAGATCTTTCCACATGTATTATATGCATTGTTTAAATGTCAGCATACTTTTATGCTCATGGTTTAAACATTAACATACTAAGAAGCATGGACATGCCAAAAGTCACAATATAAGTGTCTGAGATAGGCATGGAAATGCAATGGATATGTCCTGGTCATGAGACACGTAAAAGAATGTGTCTTAATTTCTTTTTGAAAAAGTAAGTGAAGACATGGCAAACAACTGTTGGACATATGCATTGGACATTATAAGAGCTTCTTCAGTAAGTTTCCAAAAGAAGCTGTCTAAGTAAAAAACATGGTATTGTTTAGAAGGGCAAATTGCTGTAACCCCCTGAACTATTCCTCAGTTGCAGATTGCCCCCTTCAAAGATTATTTTTAGCAGAAAACCCCCTTATACAATCATGCTTTTTTCAAATTGCCCCTCCAGTTAAGATGCCCTTTAAAATGTAATTGTTATTTACTCACATGCTAGTCATGTAAGATTAACAAATAACCAAATGGCAAATTATCCTTTTAGAAGACGAAATTACCCTTTTAATAGAGACGTTGAAGCAATACCTCTTTGCTCTCTGCCATCCTCTCTGTCAGTTCTCTTCTCTCTGTTCTCTTGATCTCTTTTGCACAAACCTTAACTCATTGTCAAAGAAAGCAACACAATTACTTGAACCAGGTATTGTCGATTGTCCATGTCCCCTGCAAAAGTCAATTTTTACACGCTAGATCATTTTTCTTCTCTCTCAATCTCTCTTGCACATGGACTGTGAGATATAGTTCTCTCTCAGTTTTGTTGCTTTTGTTTTGGTGTATTAATTGTGTCTGTATGTGGCTGTGTTTGTCCCTTTATGTGCCTTGCCTTTGCGTTCGGTTGATCATCTTCTTTTGCATAGTCCTGTGGCTCGAGATTGCTGGATGCTGATGTTGGGTTTGTTTGGGGTTCAGTGGGTTATGCCTAGATCTTCTGGAGACTTGATTGAGGCTTGGAGAGGTTGTACAGTGGGGGCCCAAGTTCGTGATCTCTCGAGGGTTACTCCTTTTTGTGTCTGGTGGTGTTTATGGCTTGAAAGAAATACTTCGAAGGAAAGGAGAATCCAATTGGGACGTTGAAGTTTTATATTATTAATACTCTTTTTTGTTGGGTTCTAGGGAGATATTGTAAATCCTTGGTGAGCTTGTAGATTTTTTGGAATCTTTGAGGGATTAGAGGCCCTATTTGGCCTTGTGTAGCTTTTGAGGGACGCGATCCCCTTTTGAACGCTTTTTATACAATCTTTACTTATAAAAATAAAATAAAAAATTCACTCGGAGATCAGATCGGCAAGCAACCATGGTTGGAGCTGTGAGTGAAATTGTCTGAGCTGAGGGAAAAAACAATGAAGTCGTGGGCCCTAGGTTTTATGATATTTCCATTATAGAAAATGACCCCGCTTTGTATAATAATGGTAATATTGTCTTTTCCAACCTTTCATTGACTTCTCCCCGAATCCCTCCCCCCCCCCCCCCCCCCCCCCCCCCCGGCGAATGGTCAAGTATGTAATTTCAGATTCATTTAGCGGGAGTCAAACACCGTCACATACTCTTGGGAGGGAAGGTGTGGTTGGGTTGGCCACTTTTTCATGGTTTGGGGGGTTTTATGCAATAGAGGGGGACAATCTGCAACTGAGTAGTAGTTCAGGGGGTTTACTGCAATTTGCCCTTTTTAGAGAGTTCCAAGAACAAGGGGTCATATGTTGGGCGGAAAAAACTTTTGAGTTAGAAAAAAATAGATACTTATATGTGGTTGACTGACTAAGTCACCAAAATAAACTTAGAAAGTAGGAAAGAGAGAAAGAGATGAGAACAATGGTACACTGATGACCATTTTTAGTGACCGACCATCTATAGGAATGCAATGTAAGTTGAACGTATTTTTTTTTTTTTTTTTTCTGTAACAGTTAATGCTTCCTTTTCTTTTCCTTTACAATTTATGGGGTTTTAAACACTTCCATTTTTAAAATCTAACCCCCAATACTTCCAATTTGGTTTGGGGTAATTCTATGCTCTTTTGAAATTGAAAAATGTAAGAAGTTCGAAATATTTCTGCCTTTTAGAATCTAATTATTTTATTTTAATAACTTCACAATTAGCGCTCTTTAAAAATTGAAATAATTAGTATTTATGATATCATAATTTGAGTTTTTTCAATTTGGGGAACATAGTCAGATAAATACATGATCAAATTATATTTGTAGCTAACTTTGGTTCTCTGAGGCTTTCTACTCGATAGTTCAGAAAGAATTATAATTTTAGGTGTTTCGTACTGTTTTGAACTCATTAGTTGGTCGACTTCTTATTCTAAGGATGAATAAATATAATATTTGTCTTATGCTATATAATCATACATATAAAAAATGTTTATTATTCTTGGTGTTCTCAGTGTGTCCTTATTCTTACACTTTTGAGGATTTATTAGGTGCCCATGTCGGTATCATGGCATATCCAGGGAGGGAGCCAAGTTGAGCTGGGCCTTAAACCTTATTTTTATTTACTTTTAGGTATTTAATATAGTAAAATCTTACAAAATGCTATTTCTCTCTTTTTCTCTTATTCTTTCAAATTTCTTTGATTCCTTTAAAAAAATTTGCACTCCTCTTCTCCAATCAAATCCTAATTTTTTCCTTTTCAAAGTTCTCTCATTTTTCATTTCTTTTTGTTTTCTTCTTCTTTTGATTTATTTTTCTCTTCTTAAATTTCGTCTTCTTTCAGTAATGTATAATGTATACTATGTGGCGTAACGTTTTTTTTTTTTTTTCTCTCTTTTTATTTATTTTTTCTTCTTCTTTAAATTTTTTTCCCCTAGTTGTAACTCACACACACTCTTGTCCCTAAAAGGGAAAAAAAATTGTTGTGTTCCCCCTTGGAATAAATTCTGGCTCCATCACTAGACCTATTACTGTCCAGTCTGTCCCATATCCATTTACATGTTTATTAGTAGAATAATCTTTGCACATTTTATGTGATTATGCTTCTCGAATGTTTTGTTCTACCTTTTTAATGACCTTCTATAATATAGGCAAATTCATATGCAATCCTTTTGTGTGTAACTGGGATTTGGCTTTTTGCTTTATTGTTTCCGATACTTTCTAAAAAGAATGACCCTTTTTTATTAGGCATCAATACCTTGTGAACTGTGCGTCCTACACGCTACTTTCTTTGATGGGATTGTCAAGGTTCTAGAGTTTTCTGCCTGTATTACTTACTATTCGCTCATAACTTCCATGTTTCTATTTTTAATGTTCGTGGTTTGTAATCAATTCCATAGGTTGTAATGCTTGGCCTGGATGCAGCTGGTAAAACAACTATTCTGTACAAACTGCACATTGGAGAAGTTTTATCCACCGTCCCTACAATTGGTAGGTCATTTTGACTATGATTGTTTATATGGTGGTGGTGGTGAAGATGATATGATGGTTTTGCTTAAATTTGGGATCAGGGCCAGTATTATATTGTAGTAGGATTGAGCTGTTGGTTGGTCCTCGTGAGTTTTTGTTGAACACTTGAACATGCTTCACTAAGATGCCATTTTTTAAATGTTTAACTTCTTGTCAGGAATTAGGAAATCTAATTAATTTTGTTCTTTCCCCCTCACCCCTTCCCTTTTGAAGACTTAGAACTTGTTTTTGCTGTTGTTTAAGTGTTGAATGAATGGGCTGAAAAGCGATAGTTTGTCAATGTTCTTGGAAACCCATGCAGCACCAGACTGCAGTGGGGAAAAGATGAATGGAACTGACCATGCACTTATCTGATATTTTACCATTTTCATCATGCTCGTGACATTTAATGATTTTCTCTAATATAGTGAAGAGAAAATATTCATTGTAGCTAGTTTTGGCCATTTTTTTCTAGAGCCTGGTCCCCTAATTGCATGATTTGGTCTAGGCCACTGCTTTCTTGTAGTGCTTTCTTTTGTATATGTGTGAAAAGAGATGGGTGTCCAATCTGGAGATGTGGAAAGCTGGATTTTGTCCCCTGTAAATTTTCCATGGAGGAGGATGGATTTCGTTGGGTTTTTTCTGGTGTCTATGGTCCGGTTGAGGATGGAGAGCGTCATATGTTGTGGGAGGAGCTTGGCTCTGTTCGAAGAAGATTGTCTCTTCCTTGGTGTATTGGTGAGGATTTCAATGTGACTTGGTCTCCGATGGAGAGGTCTACGGGAGGTAGGTGGACCATGGTGATGGATCAATTTTCGGACTTTATTGATGATTCCCAGTTGGTTGATTTACTCTTAGAGGGAGCTTTTTTTACATGGTCGAGTGGCAGATTTTCTCCTACCTTGTCTCACCTTGATAGATTCCTCTTATTTGGCGATTGGGAGGAGAGATTCCCAGATGGTTCAGGTGGCGATGGCTAGACCCACATAGGACCATATTCTGATTATGTTGGATTGTGGCGGGTTGCGTAAGAGGAGTTCTCTTTTTAGATTTGAGAACTTGTGGTTTCGGGTTGAGGGCTTCAAGGAGAGAGTGTCCTCTTGGTGGCAGAGTTATGGGGTGAGTGGCTCCGAGGTTTACTCTTGCGGGGAAGTTGAGGCTTCTGAAGGAAGACATTAAGAGATGGAACAATGAGGTTTTTGGGAATCTAGAGTGGAGAAAGAATAGAGCTCTAATGGAGATTGCTTAGATTGACCGTTAGAGGGTGTAGGGGACCTTGAGTAGGTGTTGAGACGAAGGAGGGAGGAGTGTGAGGCAGAGATTGTCGAGATTGCTATTTTAGAGGAGATTTCATGGAGATAGAAATCTTGAGCGTCATGGCTCATGGAGGGTGACAAAAATACAATATTCTTTCGTAGGCTTGCGAATGCTCATTGGAGGGGCAATCATATTGGGAGGATCGGGGTTGATGGGGAGGTGTTGTCCAAGGAGGAGGAGGAGGTGTGAAGGGGAATTGCTTCTTTTTTTTTAATTAGTTGTTCACTGAGACCTTTACTCGGAGACCTTTGCAATTTGACTTGATTGATGCTCCAGATTGGGGTGAGTTGGAGAGACCTTTTACTGGAGAGGAAGTGTTGAAGGATTTGAAGAGTTGTAATAGGGGTGGCAATTCGTGTTAGCGTGTCGTGTTCGTGTCGACATGATTATGACACGAATACGACACGATTATTAATCGTGTCTAAGATCCTTGACACAAACACGATACGATTATTACACATGTAATATGACACGACGCGCGTAACCTGTTTAATAAATGGGTCAAGACTTGACACGACACGAAAAGACACCTTTAATTCATTTTTGATACGAACACGACATGTTTATTCTACACGTTTAGCTAAATGGGTCATTTTTGGCATGAACACGACACGTTTATCGGGCACGTTTAGTTAATCGGGTTATTCGTATTATAATCGTGTTTATAGGTCAAACACGAACACGACACGTTTAGTTAGCGGGTCAATCCATAGTTGTTAAAGGCTCAAGGCGCATAAAAGCGCAAATGCCTCCTGGAGCCTAAGGCGCAAGGCGCAAGGCGAGGCGTGTGCCCGACTGAAGCAAGGCGCACGTTGGAAAAAAAAAAAAAAAAAAAAACCCACCCAATAAAGTATTAAAGATGCAAATCATGCAATAGTATATAGAAAGATGTAAAAGTCAACTAAATGAATTACTTAAGTTAAATATTCAACATAAAGATGCCAAAACCAAGTAAATCAAGTACTTGAGTTCAAAACAGTGAATAATTAAACATATTAACATAAAGATGCAAAAGTCAACTAAGGAGAAGTATAAGATAAAACTAAAACAAACATAAACATCATTCTTCCTAAGAAGACAACACCAATGAATCTAAATATCATCCTCGTCATCAATAAGCATAACATCATTTTGATCGTCACTAAATGATTCATAATTCTCAGGATCCTCTTCTATCTCATCTGAATCATCCTCATCCTCATCCACAAGTCGAATTGAAGAACTTCCTGCTCCCTTTGTTGGTAACCGTGAACTAGAACTAGATTTTGATCTAGTAGACCGTTGCGGCCTGCTTGCCTCTCCAATACCAGCAAAATTAGCAACATCACCCCATGTCAAGGAATCATCTTCATAGACTAGATCATGTTCTGCATCAGAATCATCCATCCTCCCCGTCAACCACTCGTTGCTCTCATCAATGTCATCGAGTAAAATGGGATCAAGAGTGTCACGCATATTATATCGACGCCTCAATGCTCTATTATATTTGATGAACACTAAATCATTCAACGTTGTTTGAGCGAGCCTATTTCTTTTCTTGTTATGAAGCTGCAATAAATTCAACTTTAACTAGTAAGTATAAAAAATTAAAATTTTAATTTTCAACAATTAAATTACAAACCTAGTTAGTAAATACTAAATAGTATATACTTACATGCTCAAACACGCTCCAATTTCGTTCACAACCAGAAGAGCTGCAAGTAAGGCTTAAAACCTTTATAGCAAACTTTTGGAGAAGTTTTGTTGACTTGCCATAAGCTTCCCACCAATTAGCTATTAAAAAAAAATTAATAATGATGTTTAGCAACTTTAGCTTCATCTTTCTATCGACTCTATTGTCAAAATAATTTTAACACTTAGCTATACTAACTTAATATACTTTACCACTTTACCTGGTCCTCGTGTACTTCTCTGTCTAATAGCAAAGGGATTACCAAAGAGGCCCTCAGCTTTTAAATATAAGGACAGCTCCTCAGTAATTTTGTCTTGGTCTTTGACATCCGGGACTAACCTTGCAATGCATGCATACAAACCCTTTGCAATCTCTTCATCTTCTTCAATTTTCGAATTTGAATAAAAGTATTCTGGGTTCAAATAATAACCTGCTGCATGCCACCTCTTATCAATTATTTCAAAAATATCTGAGTATTTATCTTCTACTCCCCCAAATGATTTTGCAATGGCTTCTTTAGCCCTATCCATAGCCGCATAAATGTATCCCATGGGAGGCTTTCTCTCGCCATCGACTAATCTCAAAACCGGAATAAGAGGACCGGAAACCTTAAGGCTAAAGACAATGTTGTTCCAAAAGGAAGGCATCAAAACATAAGAAGCAACTCTTTTACCGGCTTCCTCTTTCGCCCATTTACTACGATTCCATTCTTCTGAAGTAAACATCTTTCTCAAGTTATTCTTTTGCTTGTGAATACTTGATAATGTGATGAAACATGTAGCAAATCGAGTCTTAGCAGGCCTAAGCAACTCCTTTTTGTGAGTAAAGTTCCTCATAATGTTCAACAACTTTGGTCGCATATAAATATAACTATTCAACTCCACTGCCCTTTGCATTGTTCTAGAGATGGACGGTATTTTCCCAATGTCTTCCAACATCAAGTCTAAGCAATGAGCAGCACATGGGGTCCAATACAAATGTGGGTGTTCTTTCTCTAACATCCTCCCTATTTGAAACCAAACGGAAAAAAGAAAAAATGATATAAAGAGAATGAGTAAATCAAAGTTGATTTAAATTATATATTTGTAAAGAATGTAAACTCTAAAAGTTATAAACATTGAACATTCTTACCGGCATACTTATTGCTTGACTCACTATCTGTGACGACTTGGATGACATTTGTTACTCCAATGCGGTTCACAAATTTATTAAGTAAGTCAAACATCTTGTCACCATCTTTTGAAAAAGAAGAAGTATCTATCGACTCAATAAACATGGTTCCCCTTGGACTATTTACTAGGAAATTAAGCAATGTTCTCCCTCTCTTGTCTGTCCACCCATCTGCCATTAATGAGCATCCAAATTTTGACCACTCCTCCCTATGGTCATTCATCAAAGCATTGGTATTATCCAATTCCTTCCTAAGCAAAGGAACTCTCACCTCATGATAACTAGGTGGTTTCATGCCAGGACCATATTGTCCAATTGCTTCAACAACCTCGGCAAAGCTATCATACTTAACAGCATTGAATGCAATTCCTGCATCATACATCCACCTTGCAAAAGCAGCACACGCTCTTCCTCTCAACTCTTTCTTGCATGCATCATTAATGGCTGTTTGTTTTCCCCCTTCCTTTCTTTTTTGTACCACAATTTCCGGTCTGGGAGTGAAATATAAATCAATCGGTCCCTTTTGCTTTTGCATCTTTGAGGAATTGACACTAGCACTGCCTGCACTAGCTACCCTTTTTCCCCGATTGCTAACTTCCATGACATCATCCTCACCCTCTCCATCAATGAAATTAATCTCATCACTAGGTAACAAATTCATTTGTTCTTTTTCTTCCTTTTTCTTACTCATGTACTCTTTGATTTCTTCTCTAACACTAGATTGGCATCTTGTGCATGCACTCACATTTCTATATCCTCCAGCTAAGTGTTGCTTAGCCCGATAAATACCTCCTTTTGTAACTTTTGCACAGAAGTTACAAGTGACGGCATTTGTATCTTTCGGATTCTCCAAATGTGAGTAATTCCATGCCGGATCCTTTCTTGAACCTTCATTAGGCATCTTTTAAAGTTCAAACTACAATCAAGTTCAATAGAAATTATGTAAGCTGCAAATCAATCTAATTTTCTATAACTATAAGCACCATGATTCATTCTATAACTATAACAACTAAACATACTTTCAATAATAGAACCTAATTATATTATATGAAAATAATATAACAGTAAACAGTTGCTATTTACAATTTGCGATTGTCTTTTATAATTTAGACTTTAGAGTACACTTCACTAATTATTTCATTTTAACATGTTAGAATGATTCAATGGAACAAATACAGGCATACAATTTGGCTGCAATTGTGATTAAGCAAAGTAACTGCAGAATGTGTTGGCTCAAATTGGGAAATAGATCCGTCACAGACTCACAGTCACTCTCTACGTGGAGAGAGCTGATAGATCGGTTTGGAGCTAATTTTTATGGATTCAGTATTTCAGTGTTAAGTAACTTAAGTTTGATGTTAATAAATTTGACTTCAATTTGGTGTTAGTTGTTAACTGGACAACTTCTTCTCTCTATCAGTCTATCTCTCTGTATTTGGTATTTTGGTGTTATGTAAATTCTGTATAGATTAGAAGCTTTGTATTCCTCTGCAAATTTTACAAGAAAATCAATTAAATACCTTCTGATTTCAATAAATTTTTTTTTTTTTGGGTAACCCGTAACCAAGAAAAAGAATTACATTCTATCTGTCACATACAGGCTACAACAATCCAAAAAAAAATAAAAAATAAAATAGCAAGTTTCTTTGAACAGAGTAATTGGTAATCGCATTTTGAATTCTTGATCTTTTGAGAAAGTGGCATATGAAATGATTGTCACTTGCCCAAAATAAAGGTTAGAATCAATCTGTTGGGGCAACTGAATGACGAGGTTCTTTACAAAAAGGTTTAACCAATCTACTTCCCTCTTTAAAGTTCCAACTTTCTTGTTTATGTCAATTATATACCAACAACTAACTTGATACTTCAGTGCTATGAATTATGATATGGTTTGATTTAGTTATCAAATAATTTCATTCACCTTGTTAACCTTGAAATTTATAAATCAGAACTATATATATACATATAGAATTCCTGATGGTTTTATAATTCTTCTCTGTACCTTAATAGCTACTTAAGAAAAAAAATAAAATAAAAAAATAGAGAAAAAAAAGAAGAATAATAAAAAATAAAAAAAAAACTGCCAAACTCGACTCTACAGTCGGTCCAGAGAAGAAAAGAAAAAAAAAAAAAAAAAACTGAGACAGATCACAGATCCGAGAAGAGAAGGAGAGAAGAAGAAGAGAAGGAAGAGGAGAGAAGAAGAAGAGAAGAAGAAGAGAGAGAAGAAGAAGAGAGAGAACGTACCGGCAGAGTCGCGGTGTCACCGACGGCGTAGATCCAGCAGATCCGACACAGATGACAGATCCGAGACCGAGAGTAACTGTTGTCCAAGTCGTCGCCTCTGTGACCTCTGTCTCCAACTTTGTTTTGATGTTTGTTCTTCTTTTGTTTTTTGTTTTTTTAATGTGGTAACAATGTGTTATAAAAGTAATAAAATAGAAACAATAAAATAATAAAACAAATCAATAAAGTCAATAAACAAACAAAAGTTAAAATATTACAACTTCCATTAGGCGCGCCTTTATATCGCCTTTAGCCTTGCGCCTGTAGAGAAAAGGCGCTCGCCTTCTGCAACCCATGCGCCTTAAGGTTCTAGAGGCGCTGAGATGGCGCCTGGAGGCGCCTTGCGCCTCAGGCACGCGCCTCCGGCGCCTTTGACAACTATGGGTCAATCTGTGTCGACACGATTACGACACGAACACGATTAGCCCAAACCCAAACCCTCTTATCTTATGTTGTGTTCATGTCATATCAAATATTGCCACCTCTAGTTGTAATGGGGATAAAGCCTCCGGACCAGATGCTTATTCTATATGTTTCCTTCTAAAGAGTTACTTATCAAACATTTTTTTTTCCCTTCTGGAGAGTTGGGAGGTGGTTGGGGGAGTAGGTGATGGGTACTTTCCATGCTTTCTATTCCCAAGTTCTTTTTGAAAAGAAGTTTGAATGCCACGTTCATTGCTCTTGTCCACAAGAAAAAGGGGGCAGTTGGCGTTAGGGACTTTGGACCTATTAGTTTGGTGGGATGCATTTACAAACTAATTGCCAAAGTCCTTGCCTTGAGCTTGAGGGAAGTTTTGGATGGAATAATTTCAGACTCTCAAAATGCCTTTGTGAGGGACGTCATATTTTAGACTCAATCCTTATTGCAGGCGAGTGGATTGATTCCAGATCGAGCAATGGGATCTTGGAGTTTTTGTGTAAGCTTAATATTGAGAATGCTTACAATCATGTGAGTAGGAGCTTCTTGCTCTATTTGTTGGAAAGGATGGGTTTTGGGGAGAGATGGGGGAGGTGGATTGAGTTTTGCATTTCGACTGTCAGATTCTCGGTCCTTGTGAATGGTGCTCTTACTGGTATTTTCAGTAGATTGTGGGGCTTGAGGCAGTAGATCCGCTTTCTCCCTTTTTGTTTATTATTGTGATGGAGGCTCTGAGTAGGATGTTGAGGAGGGCAATGGATCTGGGTTTTATCAGAGGTTTTAGGGTGGGGAGAGACTTGCCTAGTCAGTTAGAGATCTCCCACCTATTGTTTGATGACGATACCTTAGTTTTCTGTAACGCTGATGAGACCGATATATTTGAAATGTGTGTTGATATGGTTTCAAGCAGTCTCTGGCTTGAAAGTGAATGTGGGGAAGAGTCTATGATTCCGGTTGGGGAGGTCCCTTAGATTTCCTATCTTGCGGACACGCTAGGGTGCGGGGTTGGCTCTTTTCCTTTTTCGTATCTGGGGTTGCCTTTGGTGGCGACCTCGAGGAGCGTGGGTGGATGGGATCCCATGGTGGAGAGGTTTGAAAAGAGGTTGGCAAGATGGAAGAAGCAATATTTATCGAAAGGTGGGAGGGTTACTTTGATGAAGAGCACGTTGTCGAGCCTCCCTACCTATTTCCTCTCTCTTTTCTAGATTCTCTGTTATGTGGCTAGGCGGATTGAGCAGCTTCAACGGAATTTCCTTTAGGGTAGTTTAGGGGAGAAGTTGAAGTACCACTTGGTTTGCTGGGGACCAAGTTTGTAGACCAATCCAGTTGGGAGGTTTGGTTATCAAGAGATTTGAGCCTTTCAATAAGGCCCTTGGGGAAAGTGGTTATGAAGGTTTGGTGGGGAGAGAGACAGACTTTGTAGGGGTGTTGTTGGCTTTTGGAAATTCATCCGGAAGGGGTGGGGCGAATTTTCTAAACACATCAGATCCAGAACAAAAAGTGGTAGGAGAATTCGATTCTGGAAGGACGTTTGGTGTGGGATTGCTCTTTGGCTCGTACTTATCCTATACTTTTCAAGATTGTCGTGGATACGCCTTGGTGGCCGACTGTTATCGGCTTGACAATGGGATGACAACCTGGGATGTTTGTTTTTCGAGGCACTTTCAGGATTGGGAGTTGGAAGATGTTTTTGGGTTTTTAAGAGTTACTTTACCGTCATGAGATTGTTGGAGAGGGATGTGATTCTTGTACTTGGGTTCCTTCTCCGAGGGGAAAATTGCTGTGCGGTCGTTTTATAGATGCCTCACGGATGATCCATGGCCTCCTTTTCCGTGGAAAGCTGTGTGCCGGTCCAACCCTTCAAGTTGGGGTCTTTGTTGAGTTTGTTTGGGTCCATTGGGTTATGCCCAGGTCCTCCAAGGGTATAATTGAGGCTTGTATATTTCCTTAGGATGCGTTCCCCAATTTGAACGTTTTCTAACACAATATTTCTTATCAAAGAAAATGTTTCAAACATCCCTTACATTTTGTGGAATTTTTTTTTCTTACAATGGAAAAATAATTTGTTATCTAGGTAGGAAATTGTGATGTGGTCCGAATTTTGTTTCGGCCCAGGTCACAAAAGTGAGCATTGTGTGGGCCCCCGGGAAAAATTTTATGACCTGTTTTTTCTTTTGCAGGTCGTGGATCCCATTTAGAACTCTCTTGTAGCCCAATATATAAGGGCGTTTAGGGTTTGAAGTGGGTAACGATAGAACACTGAAATCTTCTTAGAAGAGTCACAAAATGCAACTGCACTGGCAATATTGGGTTCTATACTGTGCCATAGCCATCCCATAACAGTACAATCCTCACATGCCCAATCTTCAAGTTCCTTCTTGTCAGAGGGAGGGTTCTGAATTAAGTATTTCAGTTTCCTTCGCCCGCGCAAAATAAAAATCTGAACTGCATGAGCCCAAGAAAGGTAATTAATTAGCTCTATTCAACTATTTCGAGGTAGTCGACCTAGTCATATCGTCATCCTTGACGGATAGTGGTTTGTTGTCAGCCATGGGTAGGATTCAAACCAATAGAACAGAACTAAAAAGCAGGAACATTCAAATGGAAACAGAACGTAATTATGTTTTCAGGACTTTGAGGCTGAAACACAAATCAGGGATTTGGTGTACAACATTCAGAGGAAGAAATTGTATTAAATGCAGCACTTGAAGGCCCAAGAATGCAGAACAGATTTCCGAAGCAAGAAAAGAGTAGAACCAATTTCAGAAGCTGAAGAATGCCAAGAAAACTGACTGGCTGAACCCCTTTGAGCCAAAAATTGATCCAAATGCAGTAAACCATCCAACAAAGAGCAATCAGCCCTCTTTATAGGCTAGACACCATATATTGTGGATTTCAACCAACAAAAACAACAAAAAATGCCCCAAAATCCAGATCAATAAATTTTGGGCTGAAAGACAAAGAAATTCGTAAAATGGAAAGGCCCATCAAATGACTTCAAATATATTTTTTAATTTTTTTTTGCAAAAATCGCCATAAATACCAGGAAATCGAGATGATCAAGTCCATATGATTTTCGAAAATTTCAGCCACCAGATGCTGACGTCATCACAACAGTAGCATGATGTCAGCGTGTAAATGCTGACGTAATATTTGGACAAATCTGGATTGAATAGGAGGCTCTGATACCAAGTTAAAGTTGTAGGATCTTGATAAAAATAGAGGAGGAGGAAAAAAGGAGAAAGAGAAGAAGTCTATAAAGGATGAGTGTGTTAGGGTTACCCATGCCTCTCATCTATTTATATATTGAAAAGATAAAAGTACAATAGTGCCCTTAATGAATAAAAGAAATAACCAACTCAAACTCTCTAACACAACTAATGGAGACTCCATGAATAGGCTGCCAAGAAAGAATAGCTCAGATAGAGATCATCTTGTTAACTGGTGTAAATGTTTCTTGATAATCGATTATCCTCTTATGTGTCTGTTAATCCTTTGGCACCAGCCTTTCCTTGTATTCGTTAGCTGTTCCATCTACTTTCTATTTAAGGGTGCACACCCACTTACACCCTACTGGTCTTTTTTCCATTTGGAACAGAGACTAACTCCACTTTTCATTTCCTCTATGATAGCTTCTTTCCAATTAGGATCTCAAGAGCTTCCTTCCAATCTTGAGATGCAGACATAGAAGACAAAGAAGAAATAAATGCATGATAGGTCAAAGACAAGGAGTTACGTGAGACAAATTTAGAATGGAATGTTAGGTATATCCCCGTTTTCCATTTTTATTGGCAATTGGAAGATCAATTTCATTAACACTAAGATTTATAATACTTGATAAAAATACTTATAAAAAAATATTTAAAAATAATACTTGATAAAATAGAGGAGTCATCACTTGAAGCAAATGACAAAGGAAGCACGGTAAGTTCTGAAGTCGGAATAACTAGGGCATGTAGCCTAGTGGTATCTCTGCTCGTTTCAAAGGTGGAGGGTTCAAGCCTCTCCAAGAGCATTGTGGGATATTTGTCCAAAAAAATAAAAAATAAATCTGAAGTCAAAGATTCCAATGGACCTGGGGGAACATTAGCGGTGCTCTACTCCACCTGGCATCTAATTTGACCACCCCACATCTAGTCTACTATAAGTCATGTGTCTTTCACTCTGAGGAATGGTCTCCAAACTGTAGAATCCTCCCCTTGATCATGAGCATAGACTGGAGGCTGTAGGAATGACATATCTTCCTCCATGCTATGCTTCTCTCCTTAAAGAGATGGTTGATGAGCAAAGAATACCTCTAATTCATGAATGCTAATAAGCACCATTCTGGATTTTGATTTTTGATTTTTTTTTTTTTTGGGGGGGGGTTGGGTATCACTTCTATACCCTTTCTGAGTAGCCCAGTATCCAATAAGGACATGCTGTAATAACTTCGGGCCAATTTTTTCTGTGGATGTTCTATGATCATGAACAAAGCAAAGCACTTCCTTGAAGTAACTCAAAAGAGCTTTGAAGTGAAGAACTCTCAGAGGTCTTCTGGTTGATAAGCTATGCTGCTGTGAGGACCTAATGACCCCAAAAAGATTTAGGGTAAACATCAAGGTACGAGCTATTTCAAAAAGATGATGGTTCTTTCTCTCAGTGACTTGTGTCACCCCATCTTTTGAAAGTTGATGGTATTATAAAAAGAAAGAAAGAAAAAGTAAGCACCTGGGGCAATTAGTAAACCCAAGTGACACATGAGAAACAATAATTTAAGGTGACAAGTTAAACAATACCCAGAAATAGAGACAACGCGTGGAAGTCCAATAAATTAGAATGAATAATCATAAACAAAACGTGCTTCTGAGGAGTTGAACTTTAGACCTGATGCTTCCTAAGGCATCAGGGCCATGTTCTTATCCACTTGAGCCAAACCCTTGAGGTTGTGCTTCTATTATTATTACTAGGGTAATACTACTTCTTTTTTTTTTTTTTTTTTAATCTGGGGAGCTACAAACCTTATTTAACCTATCGTTTTATATGTTGCAGGTTTCAATGTGGAGAAAGTTCAGTATAAGAACGTAATGTTCACAGTGTGGGATGTAGGTGGGCAAGAGAAACTAAGGCCACTATGGAGGCATTACTTTAATAATACAGATGGACTGGTAATGAATATATATTTATTATTATTATTATTTGGATTTTGATTGTATATTTTTCCCACTGGATAATGTTTCTTGGTAATCAACTAATTTTCTCTTTTTGACTGCTCCATATCTGTTTGCCACGCCCTTTACCAATTGATATGTCTCAGTGGCCCTAAGTCATCTGGTAAGAGAAAATAAAAAGAAGAAAAGTCTCACTGGCTTTACATCAAGGTCAACGTGGCATAGGATTAGTTTGGCTTACTGAACTCATTGTGTTTATAACCATATCTTCATCTGCCTTGTCGTTTAGATATGCTTGAGCTTCACAAATCTGTTGATGTGTTTATACTTTGTATATATTACCTGTACAGATCTATGTTGTGGACTCTTTGGATCGGGAAAGAATTGGAAAAGCAAAGGCAGAGTTTCAGGTTGTATATTCTCAATGATTTATGGTCAAGGACTCCAGCTGATGGCATAGTTTCTCATTTTGACCAATTTGTCTTCTTTCAGGCCATCATCAAAGATCCATTTATGCTCAACAGTGTCATCTTGGTGTTTGCAAACAAACAGGACATGGTATGTTCCATTCGTAATTTTTACACACATCAATGTAGTACTAGTGTAGTATATACATTTAGTTACCATCTAGCCTTTGGCTCCATTGTTATCTCCTCCTCTTCCCTTATGAGAGGTTGAGGTTCAAGTTCCCATTGGGGAAATATCGTGTCTTAGTGCACCTACCACAAAGAAAAGGTAATATATATATACATATATTTAGGCCAATATGACGAGGACACGATAATAGGTGCATGTGTTTGACATGAACTTGAACTTCGAAACTTCTGAAATGCTACCTCCAGAAACTTGATTATATAGAAAGGATTCTATCATTTTGGTAGACTTGGTTGTCGCCTTTTTTGTTTGGTTTTTTATTATTATTATTTTTTTATTTTGTTGATAAAGTAAGATTGTATTAGAAAAGAAGAAAGCTATCAAACGGGAATCGCATCCCACAAAAACTACAGAAGGCCAAACAGGGACCTTAAACTCTCAATGAGTCCAAAAAATTAGTATCTCCCCCATGGATTACAATTCCTCCCAAGAACCCAACAAAAGATAGAACTAAGGATAGAGAACTTCAGCGCCCCAACAGGAGTCTCCTCTCCCTCAAAGGATCTCTTATTCTGTTCTAGCCATAAACACCACCATACACATAAGGGCAGCCCTCCAAAAGTCACAAACTTGGGCATCCACTGGACACCCTGTCCAAGCCTCTCGAGGAACGAGGCGAAACCCACTGCATCCCGAATAGACCCAGCAATAAACTCCAACAATCCCGGGCCATTGGACAGTGTAGAAGAAAGTGATCAACTGACTCTATGTACCATATTTAAGTTAGAAACTTTGGGTTTTACAGGTTTTATTATAACTGAGATAAAATATCCCACTTCTTGTGTTTCCAAATTGAAAAATAGAAGGAAAGAAGGGAAGGGAATGGCAGAGAGAGAAGAAGAGAGGGAGGGAGGGGGGGAAGGGGGGATGGTGTAGGGAAAAATGGGTGCTTGAATATGACCATCTACCTACATCTGTTGTGTAATACAATTCATATGTATATGTCGTTGTTACGACAAATGCAGTGAACCAAGCAACAATTACGAAACACGACAGAAAAATAAACACACCATGCAGAGAACACAGACTTATACATGGTTTGGCAAAGCCTACGTCCACAATGGAGATCCGGCGAAAGTCTTCACTATGTGTAAAATCAGAGATTACAAGTTTTAACCCCCCACTCTCTCTCTGTGTAGGATTTTTAGTCTCTTGATCATCATATATCAAACCCTAAGTGCCCTTATATATCGGGCTACAGGAGAGTACTAATTATGGTCCATGACCCATGAGCAAAAACGGATAAAAAATTTTCTTGTGGCCAAGCCCCCGAACCCCCAGAACTTTGGTGGGCTTGGGCCCACACAAGCTCATCCAACAGGTCGTCGGGTTGTAAGCGGGTCACATCTCAACCCGGCACCAACAGGTCGTCGGGTTCCTTAGGTTGCCTTGCGCCCTTTGTGTAGTTATTGGGACGAGTTCCCCTTTTTGAACGCTTTCTTATACATTTTTTACTTATTAAAAAAAAAATGTTTAGTCTTGGATCTTCTAGTTGAACTTGAACTAATTAGGAAACCCCAGACCACCACCGAATAGATTGTCACTTCAATACAAAGTATCTTAAATAAACTCCAGCTTCCCTTTTCTTGTTACATGTTTCGTGTGAATGACATTTTGGTATTAGATTATAGTATTCCATCTAAAAGTACTTTGTTACTCAGAGCATATTAGTGTAATTTATGACTGCAGAACTGCCTCATCTTTTCGGGTGATATGAAGCTTTTTTGAGGGAGGAACTTCATGTTTTGTTTTTCTAGTGTTGCCTAGGCTTTCTTCATTCACTGCAATAATTTCTTTGAGACTAATGGACATTCTTAACCTTTAATATACAGAAGTTTGAAATTTAGAATTATGCTAATATGCTCATTTATTTGAGACGAATGGACATTCTTATCCTTTAATATCCAGAAGTTTGAAATTTAGACCGTAGAGAGCTTCCTTGTATTGCCTAGCTACCATGATTGATTTTGTCAAATTAATGAACCATTTGTTTTACTTTTTTGACATGTATACTATAAACGAGCACCATAGGAGGCACAACCAATGAATGCACATGGTTTACAGAAACATTATAACTAAGCCCCTTCTATATGACTCAATTCTAATGGGTTTATGTGCATAAAACGTAAGCAGACCAAACCCATGGCTCTGAAACAAAGCCACGCAAGGCCCACTGATCTAGACCTAGAGGGGGTGAATAAGTCTTGTAGAACTTCTTAACATTCAGTTAAAAATAAATCCGTTAATCTCGTAATATGGTTAATATTAAAAAATTACTTGTTTTAATTTGCTTGAATGAAATGCAAGTGGCAATTCAAATTAAACAAGCATTAAACCATAAATAAATAATTAAAGCAATAATTAATGAGCATCAGATTTTTACGTGGAAATACCTTCAAAGAAGGGAGAAAAAATCAAGGGACCTAGTCCGACAAATTAATCCGCTATAACAAAATGAGATATAAACCTAGGTCAGAGTTTACTATGGTCAAATTCCTAGTTGATCTCTGGATACGAGACACCAAACCTTCAGTATAGTCGAAGATCTCCAGGCCATCTTTCTGATCTGTCTACAACATTCACAACGAATTCGCTTTATTGATTAATCTCAGCCACTATTCTGTCCATTTGAGAATTTGGTTGATTACTGTGACAGTGTTTAATTAATCTTTTTTAGCTCAGCAATGGTTGTATTAACACCAATAACCAACAACTTACCAAATCTAAGATTATGATTGTTGAAAACAAAAACGATGCACTTTTTCACCAAAAAAAAAAAAGAGTGAAGTATTTGCAAAATAAGAGTTTTGAAGTTGTTCCAAGTACTAAAGGGGAGATGGAAATAAGAGGTATCGGCTTCCACCTTTCTGCCTAGATTACCTGTGAAACCGTGCATGGCCTTTACCTTGCCAACTGGAATAACTTAACCCATTTGCGAGATTGATCCACAAGCTTAATACTAACTTAAAGCATGAGAAGATATGTCGAAGATTTTCCTATGCTCCAGAGAATATAATCGTAGCTGTTCCTCTGCCCTACCTGTCTCAACTCCCCACTATCCTAATGAATGTCATGCTCAAACACTTCATCGGCATGATAAACAGAAATGGTGAAAGGGGGTTCTCCTACCTCGACCTTGAGATTGTAGCAATATTATTTCATTAACCTGTAAGAAACATGTTTTTTCTTTCTTTTTTTCCTTTTGGATTTGTTAGCAACCATCTACTCTAAAATCTTAAGCTGTTAGATTTGTGGCCTTCTTTTGGTCCAACACATGTTTCAATTTTAATTGTCAGGGTAACGGTGAGGTTTAAGCTTTTAGAGTCGATGGTTGTTAACAGGATTTAATTGATGGTCACTTTTCTATCTACCTTTAAAAATTATGCTGACTACTAGAAAGTTGTTGGCTGTATGTTTCAGACTTTTCTTTGTAAAGACTGAAAAGTCTGAAGTACACCGATAACCGTTTTTCCGTAACGTTCACTTGCACATCCTGTTTTGATTTTTATTGGCTGCTTATATGCATAGCACTGGCAAGTCCTAGGCTGCAAAATATTTATTTGTTGTATTCTTCCATTTTCTTTTTCCTTTCTGGTTCAGAAAGGAGCAATGACACCAATGGAAGTGTGTGAAGGTCTGGGTCTCTATGATCTTAAGAACAGAAAATGGCATATTCAAGGTACTTGTGCTCTTAGAGGAGATGGCCTTTATGAGGGCTTGGACTGGTTAGCTAGCACTCTCAAGGAGTTAAAAGCCGCTGGATACTCCTCAGTGGGCACCTCATCCTACTGATTAACAAGGTTAAAACTTCTTATCTCGGTCTTGTTCACCATGAGAAATCGGTAGCCCATCTAGCTTCTTCTGATTTATTTCTTATTGACTTGTTTCCTCAGGTTTAATTCAGATCCCGATGTTCACCGATGGATGAAGCTGAAGATCAGAAAACATCTGGAATTTAAATGATTTTTTGAGTTATGTTTTTAAAGCTAATGAAAGTTAATTAGGTGCTTACTTCTGGCTTTCATTGCCACTTTGATCTGTGACTCTGTATATTGGCACACAGGCCCCATCTTTCGAGGTTAATTGGACTCGGGGGATTTGTCTATGCTTTGGATGTCCCCCACGATACTAATGTCATATATACATTTCTATATTTGAAGAATATAAAGGTGGGTGAGTAGGTTATATCGCTCTCTCTCTCTCTCTCGCGCGCGCACACACACAATGTTCCACTGAGTTAGAGAATTGCAGATTTTATTATTTTTAGCGGACTCATGAACTGTCATTTGTAGAAATTGTTAATCCAGTATCAAAGAAGATACAAATTGTGGCCCTAAAGACTGTTATAGTTTTGGGATGTGCTTGGTTCAATTTTCTAAAAACCGTTTTTGGCATTTGCTTGGCTGTTTCCAGTGGGTTGCTGCAAATTTTGTCGGCTTTTTTTACTGCAAATCTTGCTTATTTTTATTTTTATTTTTACTGCAAATTTTGCTTTTTGTTTTTTTACTGCAAATTATGAGTCTGTCAACGAATGGACCTCCGTTCTCTCCCGGTGTATTCAACATTGCAATTAATTCCTTGAATTATTCCGCAATAGCTAATAACTCCCTCGAATTTTAAAAATCCCTAAATTATAGTAAGTAATTTGCAAAATGCTCTTTCATCATGCTAACTTGACAAAATTATACAAGTACCCCTGAAAAAAATTAGAACAAGAAAATTAAGTTAAAAAATTAATCTGAAATGAAAGAAATGTCTAAAACTGAATAAAGATTGTAAGATGCACTCTTGAAGAAATTCAAATCATCTTCCTCTATTTGAATCTCAAACAAAAATCCCTATATTGGATTCTTGGAATTGGAATTGGTTGAATTGGAGAAAATTTTGGTTCAAGTTTGTGAATTGTTTTTTTATTTTTTTTATTTCACAAATTTTAATTTTAAAACTCTAATTTCATATAACCGACAATATAGGAATATTATTGTACGAGGGTAATTTGATTCTAAAAAAATGGCACATTGGTCAAAATATAATCCATTTAATGTCGGAATAATTTGTAAGAGTTTTAAAATTGTATATGTGGCTATTTGATGTGGTATGCGTCACTCAGGTGACGTATAAAATATATTTTATTGTAGAGAGATACTCAAGGGGTTGGCTCGATCGGTAATCTCTTGAGCTCGTTAATTCTTGAAGTGTCAGGTATAAGGTTTGATCCTCGTTTTACTTGATCCGTACGAATGTATGCTTTGCATGGTATTTCAGGATTTAGTCGGACAAAACTCCGAATACCCCAATTACCTTATAAAATAAAATAACCTCTCAAGACTACTCACCTTGGAAAAATTTCTCAACTTCTAGCATCATTACGGACTTTAGATGGTCAAAAGAAAGAAGAAAACGGCCATCATAAGGAGAATGTGGACAAACGACTCAAATATGAGTCTTCAAGACCAATTTGGGGATGAAGTTTGTCTCGGACATAAAGATAAAAAATTCAGGCCTTAATCTTCATGAACAATATGATATAAGGATTTGCTTGGTCCACAATATAAAATCGAAACCCAAAACTTATTCATGATGATCAAGATTGTAATCTGCTCTAAGTAGGGTAACTTTCACGCTCTTGGGCAGCTACCTATTTTGTAAGACAATTTTATTTACTTTTAGATATTCTTTGATACCTTTTATCTTGGTAGCTTCGAACACATTCCATAGGTTGCTTTTTCCTTAACAGAGATTTTCAGTACCATAACCAATTTTTTATTTATTTATTTTTAATTTTTTTCTTTGTATCCATTTCTGCTAAATTCAACAAACACAAGAAGCTTTTAGTCATGTAAATATTCTTTTAGCTACTTATACAATGTAATCTAGTCAATTTCACAATCTTTTCTAATCAATTATCTCAAAGTAAGACTATTGCACAAAGTTATGAACTCAAACAACTCATCGCTAAAAATAAACAAATAAAGCAAATTAGTCATCAGTGATCACGATTTCAAAGAAATTCATCCATTTATTAATTAAGTGTTCCAACTTGCTTTCACAAAAATATAGTGAATTTAAAATAAATATATGTAATTCATATTATGCCAACAAATTCTTATAAAGGACAATGCTTGCGTCATCAATAGATTTAAAATAGATGTCCAAAAGCAAAAGCTGCGTTTAAGTTGGGTATTGCCCAATTATTCAGGTTTAACCCATTGCTGTGAAAATTTTAATTTTTTTTTTTCTTCTCTCTCTCCAAGAAAAACCATCAACGCGCACTGGTTCTGTTCAACGCTAATGCGCCATTGCCGACCATCTTTGCTCACCACTTCATCACTGATTCATGCCACCGTCAATTCATCCATCTTATGTAAAAAAAATTTAGTTCAAAAGACAGCGACATGTCAAATAATTCAGATTGCATTGGATTTTGGGCTGGGGTTCGATTATGGGGATGAATTGATTTTGCTAGATTTGGGGCTAGGGTTTGACTATGGGGATGAATTAATGTAAGGTTGCTGGAATGGGTTGGTAATGGTGAGAGAGAGAAGCAAAGGTTGTGATGGTGTTGTGGAAAAACCAAGAGGCGGGGTCGGTGGTGATTGTGATGGTGTTGTGCAAAATCCAACGCAATCTGAATTATTGAATCAGCGATGAAAAGGTGAGCAAAGATGGTCGGCAATGGCGATGCGATGGCGGCATTGAACAAAATCGGTGAGAACCAACGTTAATGGTCTTTCTTGGAGATGGAAAAAGGACAGAGAAAAGAAAAGAAAAAAACAAATCTCACAACAATGGGTTAAACCCGAATAATTGAGCAATACCCAACTTAAACTTAACTTTTGCTTTTGGATACCTGTTTTAAATCTATTAGGCCACATCAGCAGGTTGGATGAAGTTCATTGAACCTAGGTTGGATACGAGCATTGTCCTTCTTCTAAAACCCTAAAAATAAATAACCTTATCCTAAACTGTAATATGGTCCAATGGAAACTAGATAAACATCTGAGCACAATCCATAACCATAGAGACTCTAGTGATCTCAAGGGGGTACGGTTTGCACCCAAGACATATTGGGAATGAAACCCATAGCATCAATAAGCCCATATTTATGCAAATCCTCATTCTTCATCCAAATAGTTTTGACATGCAAATTAACTTGAAAAAAGTTCCTTCTTTGGTAGTCGAAGGATAATAATGATTCATTAAAGTTGATTGAGACAATCCTATTATGCTTTAGAAAATTATTTTTATTAAATTAAAAATCACTTCCGCTATATTATTATTTTCTTAGCCATTTCTCGTAGGACAGAGGCCAAGGTTGATGCTATGAATGAATGCATTGAAGAGATAGCTTCGAATGTGGATCATCTCAAGCAAAACCTAGCCGAGATTCGTGTCGCTCTTGACCTCCCACCTTATTGACGTTGACAAAGGGGGAGAAGAAAGGATTGATGTGCTTTATTTGCTATATATTGTAGTCATTCCTTGTATATGCTTGTATGCCTTTTGAAACTTCTTTATTGTATCAAGTTCATTAATCTTAATGAATTAGGAAAATCTTTGGGTATATATATTGTGCCTCTATGTTCTATCTTAAGCATATGTTATCATTGCTTCATTGTGCCATTAAATGTATGTTATATGTTTTAAATGGAAGCACGTTGATAGGGGAGATTTATAATCTCTTTATGAACTTAAATGAACTCAAAAAATGAAAATTCTTCAAAAATAATAAATTTTTTTTTGTATGTTGCTCTCCTTCAATAAAATTAATAACACCCTTAACTATTTTAATTCGACAAACATGGTCAAAAGCCTAACCATTTTAAAGTTAGGTAGCCCTCAAATGTATCCTCAATTTTACCAAATTGCCCTTTAATTTAATTGTAGAAAACCGTTGAACTATAACAAACTTGAACTTTACCCCCTGAATTGGGGTTATTATGCAATTTTTTTTCTTTATATAAAAGGGTTTTGTGTGATTAATCCAAGAGAGAAACTTGAGAATTTCAAAATAAAAAATAATAATCCAAATGTTTTGACCAATTGTTTCTTAATGGTGACTTTGATGAAAGGAATGATCTTGCAGAGCTTTTAGTAGTTAAAGATGGTTAGTTGCTAAAATTTAGTCAAGAGGGCTTAGATGCAATTGTTTTATATATAAATTGTTTACACCATAATTATCGGCCACTTTCCAGTAGAAACTGTGATGACTGATTCTAATGGAAGATTGATGTGCATACAAGGATACAATTAGAAGGCGACACGTGGCTTCATCTAAGGAAGCCATTTGGTAAAAGTAATTGCCTATGAACACATGGCAGACTTCTAGAACGGTGGTTATGGCTGAAAGTGGTATCCTTTAAGTGGGACACGTCGCAGGCAAAGAGTTACTTGCAGTTGAAAAGTCGTCACTGTTGAGTGGGACATGTGACAAGCAAAGGAGTAAAGGAGTTACTTGCAGTTGAAAGTTGTATCTACAAAGTGGGACATATGGTAGAATTTCAAAGGAAGAATGGTTATTCCAATGACATGTGGAAGATTCTGGTGGAAGGACGTGTGATAAAGCAGTAGAAACAACAAAACATGAGAATGTGGGACACGTAGCAGATTTCTAGTGCAAGATCGTGGTGGCAGACAGTTATTCTGGTGGAAAGTCGTGCAAGAAAACAAGAAGAAAAAGTAAAACATGGGTGCAAACATGGAGCATACACTTGAGAAACTGATCTAAACAACGTAAAAGCCAATGGAACTGTTGGCAGTAACTGCCATTTGAGAACTCCATAAATAGGACTCATAGTTGTAACTTAAAAATCCTATTCAACACCACAATCAACAATGTGTACTTATTTCAATTCAATTTCATCTACCCTCTGCATTCATGTAAAGTCCATTCAATATGTTTAATTTCAGCACTGCTTTTTCATTACTTCAGTTTCAGCAATATACCTTCAAGTTTAGACCTTTTAGTTCAAACCCCAAGACCTTTTAGTTCCAGTACTTTTAGTTCAAATCTTAAGTGCTTTTATCAAAGGCAAAAACAACAAAAGAGAGACAAAGTGGTGGTCATTTCAAACTTCTTTTCTTCAATTGCCTAATCTTGCAATATTCCTCCTGTGATATTGTTTGGTCACTCCATTGGAACTGTGGCACGCCCTCCAATTCCTTTGGCACTCCCTCCAATTCCTTTGGAACTGAACTTTTTACAGCCCAAACATAATTACAGCCCAAACATAATTCAAGGAAAGTGGCCTAATTTATTTTGTTTTTACAAAAAATAATAATTATTATAATAAAGTGATAAATTGCTCTTGAAAGTATAATATAACAGTATTTTTAGACAATTGTGAAGTATAAGAGTATTTTTGAAGTACAATTGTATCAGCTCCTTTTTTTAAAGAGAAAAAAAGTGGGATACACATGTAGAAAGCATTTTTTATATAAAAATTAATAATATAACTTTTCTGTATAAATAAATAAATAAATAAACTCAATAATGGACAAAAATATAACTTTTGTTCAATGTTGGTTGCTTCTAGGAGTTCAAAATGGTGAAAATGAAGGTAATTGAACCTGTATTTTTTGAGCGACAATGTTTGTTTGGCATTTCGATTTTTTTTTCTTTCCCTTTTATCTCGTAGACCACTAGAGTAAAAAAAAAAAAAAAAATGCGATGTCTAGTAGAAAATTTTGATAATGTTAGCTAAAATTTTACTTGAAACACTTTTCATGCTAGATATTACTTCTTTTTTTTTTTTTTTTTTTTTTTTTTCAGAAAAACAATATCACCTAAATAACTTTTAGCACTAATCTTCAGCAACACCGATTTGAGCTGACAATAAAAAAGTTGTGCGCTTAATTTTTTGACAAAGTATTTGGCACATATAGGGAGTGAAATATGGTGAATCTAAAAGGATACTTGTTTATTTTTAATTTGATATGGAGTTAACTCAATTTATTTCAAATTTGTCCAAATTCAAATTGGTACCGAATCGGTGAGGAAAAAAAAACTATACGACTCAAAATTAGCATTAAAAATCTTAAAAGTTAATTTCGAATAAGATCGGGCAGGTCTCAAAACAAATTTCACCCCATTTCTAGTAATGATTTGAAATAAAAGTGCTCCAAACATGTGAAACACCAACTCTTAGCACTTGTTATGGTAAAAAAATATTTTATTTTATACTATGCTACACGTTTGAATAATGGTCAAAAGTCAAAATTTTTAATTTTACATATTTTCGTACTATAATAATGGATAATGTAGCAATGAACAGTACCAAAAAAATATTTAAACTTTACTTTTAAAAAATTTACAACAAATAAACATTACAAAACATGATTTTAATTATTATTAATATTCTAAACATTATATAACAAAATATTTTAAGGGAAAATTACATATAAATGGAGTCAAAGTTCTATATTTACTTAGAGGCTGAGTCAAAGTTCCATATTTCTCTAAAATGGATTGCTGAGGTGGCACATGGTTTTTTACTGTTTAGAAATTGTGGTGCCTAAAATACTCTTCCGCGAAGGTACTACTTTTTCTTCGAAGGTACTACTTTTTTGAACTGAAGGTACTACTTTTTGGCGTCCAGGTACCATGTTTTTTAAACACCTGCAAAGGTACTACTTTTTCTCCGAAGGTACTACTTTTTTGAACTGAAGGTACTACTTTTTTGAACGGAAGTACCTACTTTTTTGTTAGGGAAGGGCATTTTAGGCACTACAATTTTTTAAACAGTAAAAAACTATGTGCCACCTCAGCAATCCATTTTAGAGAAATATGGAACTTTGACTCATTGTCTAAGTAAATATGGAACTTTGACTCTATTTATATGTAATTTTCTCATATTTTAATTAAAACAAAAACGTAGAAACAAAACATAATGCACCAAGGTTAATAAAGACAAATTAAACCAACTCCATGGACAAGCCGGCCAAGATTCGAGGAGATGAGAATCCGCTGAAAGAATATGAAGTGGTAATAGCAAATGGGAATGGAGGACAAATAGTTAAAATTATTTGGGTTTGTGGGGCATATTAGGAGATATGAATATGGTTCTTGTTTCTTATTCTCGTTTGTTTCCTTTTCCTTTATAATATTTAATTTGAATTATTCTTGTCCTAATCTAATTAAACTAATCCACTTTTCTTTTCTATATCTTTTACAAACTTATAGGTGTGACTGGTCAGATTTATTACAAATATTACTTTAAAATTACTATTAAATAATTAGAATTGATAATTTATATAGTCGTTGAAGTTAATTATTAGAGGTGTCTCAACGTATATATAGATTGAGTATTAACATCACTTAATGTCTTAAGTTTTTGAGTTAAATTGCGAAACATCTAACTTATTACATTTGGTATCAGAGACAAATCTAATTTTTTTATCTAACCATGAAAGTGTCCGGGTGTGACACCTTAATATAACCGTCAGATTTTAGCTTTTGATCCAGAACTATGCCAAGAGTCTGACTCTAAAGATATTGAGGTGTGGTATCTAAATAGACACGATAGCCCTTCCACATGCGTTTATTCAAAATAACAAAAATAATTATATGAAAATCTGAATGGTTGCAGAACTTTGATTATTTGACTTTTCTAAAAAATCAAATTAGTTTGAACTAAAAATATCTTTTACTTTTCAGCGTTGCGGTCATTCTACGCTACCATCGACCAATTATATATGACCAATTTTATCAGTTGATTGATACACGATCTTATTACAAATAAAAGTACTTCTCCACTCTCACCCTCCCTACAAAAGCACATCCACACACCTACATATACCTGTGTGTGTTTGTGCAAGCTCAGTTGGATTGCCATGGCGTCGTCGAATGCTCAACAAGGATGTGTCGTCTCCTCGTGCTGTTCTTCTACACCCGAAAAGATCATCATCGATACCGATCCCGGCATCGATGACAGTATAGCAATCTTAATGGCATTCCAAAGTCCAGAATTGGAGATCCTCGGCTTGACAACAGTATTTGGCAATGTTTTCACAGAAGATGCAACTCGAAACGCTCTGATTCTGTGCGAGATCGCAGGACGTCCAGATGTTGCTGTGGCAGAGGGTAGTCCTGAGCCTCTCAAGGGAGGAACACCAGGTGTTGCATACTTCATTCACGGTTCGGATGGATTGGGGAACACTTGTTTACCACCTCCTAGTTCCAAGCCAATTGACAAGCCTGCATCTGATTTTTTAGTGGAGAAGGTTTCCGAATATCCCGGCGAAGTGTCTATACTTGCACTGGGGCCGTTGACTAACTTGGCTTTGGCTGTCAAGAGGGACTCATCCTTTGCAAGCAAGGTGAAAAGAGTGGTGATACTTGGTGGAGCATTTCTTGTGTCCGGAAATGTCAATCCTGCTGCTGAAGCTAATGTGTTTGGGGACCCCGAAGCAGCCGATATTGTGTTCACCTCTGGAGCTAATATTGTTGTTGTTGGCATAAACATAACAACCCAAGTCAAAATGACAGGTATATGATCGACCTACTTTAATTTCTTAGGTTTTCATTTTTGTATTTATTGTGATGTTTTTATCTTAAGACTGCCTGCCGCCCCCAATGAAATTGAAGCTTTGAATTTGGAATTTATGGAATTAGAAAAAATTCTAGTTCAATTTGTGAGTTTGTTTTTTCGAATCACACCAATTTCAATTTTAAGATTCGAATTCTAAACAACCGAGAACACAGTCTAAGGTGTGTTTCGCTACATGGAATTAGAATTGAAATTGGAATTGGAGAAAATTTTGATTCAATTTTATTAATTGTTTTTTTTAAAAATTTCACCAATTTCAATTCCAATTCCAATATTTCAATTCCATGCAGCCGAACATGGCTTAAAGCGTGTTCCGCTGCATGAAATTAGAGCCTTGGGATTGGATGTGTTCGGTTCCATGGAATTCAAGCCTTGGAATCGGTGAAATTAGAGAAAATTTTCTTCTCAGAACACATCCTAAAAATATTCTACCACAAAATTAACATTTACCCTTGGGTTTCAGATGGTGACCTTATTGATTTGAGGCAATCTGAAGGAAGACATGCTCAATTATTAAGCAAGATGTGCAAGTTTTATAGAGATTGGCATGTAGAGGATATGGGAGTGTATGGGATTTTCCTTCATGACCCTGTCAGTTTTGTGGCACTAATCCGGCCTGATCTCTTTACATACAAGAGTGGGGTTGTGAGGGTTGAGACACAGGGTATCTGTCAAGGGCATACACTGATGGACCAAGGAATATATAAATGGAAGGAAAATAATCCTTGGTCAGGCTATTCCCCTGTTTCAGTTGCATGGACAGTTGATGTGGACAAAGTTCTTACTTATATTAAGCAACTATTGATGACACCATGAAATCTTCTTCTTCGTCAACTTGTGCTCCAATCAACAACTGAAGAATGAAGGTAGAGTTGTCTCTGATTTGTGCTGGAGACAGTGACATATTCTTTAGCTTTTTGATGGGTACAACTTATAATTTACCCTAGTTTTGGGTGTGGAGGCTAATTTACTGGTCTTGATTTGCTGAAAATTTCCTTCAATTTGTAAAAGTGCATAAAACCCTCATTTTAATGTCAAAAAGAAAAAAGAAAACCATCCTTCTTGCTGAGATGCAAAGTTATCAATTAGATTTTTGTATTTGAATGTTGCTGAAGTGTATTTTCAATAAATAATACTGACCATTGAAATCCCTTCTAAGGACTAAGTTTCCAAATCATGCAAGCGAAAGTGCAAGTACAGAGGAGATGGTTAACTGTCTCAACAACAATCTCACAAAAAGGGCAGATAGGGATCTCGGACGCTCCACGTAAAAAATGCAAATTATTCACGGGGATTCGCTCAAGGAGACACTGCCATAAAAACAATTGAACTTTTCTATGAGTGCGAATGGTCAACACCTGTTTCCACATATTGCCTTTGATAGCATCAAAGCTACAAACTTCCACTAAGGACAGAGTGAGGCAAAGGAGTGAGAATAGAGAGAGCAACATGATAGACACTTTTAACCGAAAACCTGCCATCTTTGGAAGCAGTGGCGGATCCAAGGGGGGCTTAGGTGGGCTTACCCCCCATTTTATTTATTTATTTATTTATTTTTAGTATAGGTATATTTAGCCCAATATTTAAAAAAAAAAAAAAAAATTAGTAGTAGTATTAACCCCCCAATTTTAACCCATCTAAACAGGCCCAATAACTAAACCACAATTTTAAAACAAAGGTATAACCAAATAGGTCCAAGCCAAACAAGTCCTAAACAATCACTAAGCCAAAGCACAAAAAACTCCTAAATTCCTAATCTTGCATAAATCAAAGAGCTCACTACTTTTCTCCCTCTAAAGTCTAATCCTATTTCTTCTAAAAATTTTCAACTTTTTAATCTTTCGATCCCCAATTTCCCCTTGTTTAATATTAACCCCCCCATTAACAATTCCTGGATTCGCCCTTACTTGGAAGCATCCCAAACTTTACAATCAACTTTCCCATGGAACTTAAAGGGATTTTTAAAATAAGCATACTATCACAATGGTTGAAAAATTGACATACCAATTTAGAATTCCACTCATGAGAGGAGTGGTTTATTAGTTCAGCTACAAAAGAGAAGTTGTCCCCAAAATTTGAAGAAGTTACAGAGAGATTTGAGAAATCAAGAGTGTGACGACCCAAGTTTTTCAAAACCTGGTGTATTAATGAGTGATCCGAAACTGACCCGATACACGATCCCAAATGCGGAAGTGAAAAAAAAGAGAAGCGGTCTCTAGAGATGAACATCATCTCTAAAACGCCAAAGAGACTTCCCAAGAAGCCACGAGACTCAAAAGAATCAAATGCGGAAGCTAGGGTTTTCAAAGGGACAAAAGTACTACTAGGGATAAAATGGTCTTTTCACACTAAAATGGATGCTACCATGCATACCATTGGATAGACAATAAAAAATTAATAAAGTTAGACTCAAGAATCGCTTGATTCGGAGTCCGGATGAAGAAGATATGGAACCTCGAAATTTTACCAAAAAAACTTAACAGGACTGTGACTAGTGCGATCAATCGTAACTTCTACGATCAATCGATCGCAAAGTCAGCGAACGATGAACAGTTGCCAGAACCCAAGTTTTTTTAAAAAAATTAAAAGGGTGCCCAGTGCGATCGATCGCATAATTCGGCGATCGATTGCCAAATCCACGATCGATGGGCAGTAGCCAATTTTCAGATTTTAAAAGTTGAAGTGCCCAGTGCGATCGATTGCCAAAAGTTACGAATGATGAATTTTATCCAAAAAGGTGCTCTAGGATGGATCGCAGCCATCTGCGATCGATCGTCGATTTTGTGATCGATCGCAGCTAGTCTGGCTGTGACCATGAAGTTTTTAAAAATGTTTGTTTTTCGATGCCAAAACGATTTTTTTTGCAAAAACCTTATGAAGTGACCCCCCCTAAAAATGGGTTTTCTATTCAACCATGGTCTAAACCAAAATTAAAATACAACTTAGAATACCCAAAAATGCCCTCAAGATAAATTAGGTTGCTAGGATAAAAACATGCTGAAATTTGTCATTCATTTCATTCGTCAAAAGAGATTGGCCCTTAGCCTCATTACATAAATATTGAAGTGTAATCTAAATATGATGTTTAAGTTCATATTACATGTCCAAAAAGGAGGCAAGCTATACTTTCATACAAGTTATACATTACAACTTCAAAAGATAGTTAAACATGCCACACTTGCATGTACATAAAATCACACAAAAAAAATATCCAATGTAGCTTAAGTCGAACTAGGGATGTTGTGCATCCCAAAACAAGGTCTCCTTACTTGAAAAAGTCCAAAACAATAAGGGTGAGTAAACAAGTTACTCGTACAAAATGAATATGCGTATACCCTAAAGTTTTAATGGCTTTTGTATGCATAATATAAACCATTTTCATGTGGATCATGCTTCCTAATGTCTGCGTTTCAAGGGGAAGCTAAGGCAACATCCAAAGCTATATTTGAAACAAGTTGAAAGCAATCCACAATGGGTATAATGATCAAATACAATGGTATACTCCATGAGATACCACAAGTTCCTAAGTTCAATCAACTTGTAAAATAACACGAAATCATACAATATGGAAAACTTAGAGGCGGCATCCAGTTGTGAACTTATAACATAAGACAATACAAGTTATTTTGGGCATTAACCTTCAAGGAACTACCTAAGTGCGCACTATAAGTTGGGGAGAACTCTTACCTCCTGCACTAGGGCCAAACCCTAGCCATTTCAATGTTTCTTTGCCCCAAGTATATCCAAAATCAACAAGTTGTCACCACAATTACAAATGCTACAATGCAATTAAACACTATCCATGCACAACCAACAATTTGATAATCACACACAACCATGCTCTAAGTCTCCAAGCTATAATGGCATGTGAAATGTCAAATTTATAATGCCATATCAACCTATAACAAGGTTACTAAACAAGGGATTCATCCACATAACATAGTAAGCCTAAACCCTTGATATAAGCAACAATATAACATAGATTTCATAACAATATCAAGGCAAGAAGAATACTAGAATTTCATAAGCATCAAAACAAGAAATCTTTAGATTTTATTCTTACACAAAATGGAACTACAACTATACAAGAGTTTAACCATATACAGTCTTATTCAAAATGAAACCCTAGGTTAGATAAAATCAAGGTTCATCCATATATAACCCTAGAACTTCACTAAACATGCATACAACTTATATCAACTACAAGAATACATGATACACTTAAAGTATAAACATAATACACCCCATACCAAGCTAAAGAATAGAATCTCTAGAATCCTCAAGAAAATGGGAGCAAATAGTGAATCCAAGCAAAGGTGTTGTAGAGGTGGATAAGAGGAAGGTTTTGTCTTCCAAGACCTAAGCCCAAAGGTGAGAGGAAGAAGCTCAAAATCAAATAATGGAGGCTAGGTTCATTGAGGTCAACAGTGGAGTTTATGTGGGAGGTTGGAGAAGAAGAGAAATTTCTCTAGAAAATTCACTAAATAAACACATTGATAGTCAATTACACTACACCAACACTACCTCTCTCACATACAAACACATCCACACCCTCCACTTGTCAACATCCTAGGCCTCCTCACAAGTTCTAATCCTAAACCTACACTTGTCACCATCTTTTGCCTCTCCATAAGACTTAATCTAAGCCCTACACTTGCCAACATCACAACCACCAAATGCCTGTATCTAAGGTCAACAAGTGGGTGAATCTACACCCAACACTTGTCACCAAACAAGGCTTCCAAGTGTTTCCACTACAAAGCCTACAAGTGGCCCAATGGGAGTGTGACACTTGTCACACTTTTTCATAAATTGCAATATAGTCCCTCTTCTAAATATCTTAAATAATAATTGAAAAAAGGTCCCAAAGACCAAAATATCCCAAAAATATAATTACACAAAGTACCCCAAAAGAAGAAATGTTTTCGAAAAAACTATGCATCCATACCCCTATGGGAAAAAGTAAGCAAGTTAGCATGCTTTCTACAAAAGTAAGGCTACGCATTTCATCAAAATAATATGGGGTGAATGCATGTAAAGTCGGAAGTCAAATCCGAGCTCAAACTCTACCTCGGGTCTCCGAAACCCTAAGGTTGCGCGAAAAAGAAAAATGCTAGAAAACGGAAAAGATAAGGACAGGGTCCTCACAACCTCCCCTCCTTAAAATGATTTCATCCCAGAAATTAAGCCATACCTGAAATTGCGAACAAACCGGATACAGAGAGCGAACCTCTTACTCTAGTTCCAAGTTAGCCTCCTCGACTCTGTGGTGTCTCTACAAAACCTTGACCAATAGAATGATCTTAGTCCGTAAGACCTGCTTTCGTGAGTCAAGAATCTGGACTGGACTTTCCTCGTAAGTCATATCCTCGTCAACAACGACATCCATCTACCGCAAGACATGTGATGGATCCGGCTCGTACTTACTCAATATAGGGACGTATAAAACGTTGTGAACCCTTTCCAAATCTGGCTACAATGCCAAACGATAAGCAACCTCACCGACGTGATCCAAAATTTGAAACGGTCTAACAAACCTAGGAGATAACTTGCCAGTCTGTCAAAATCTTAATAGCCCCTTGCGCGGAGAAATCTTGAGAAAGACATGGTCTCCTACCTTAAAAGATAAAGATCTCTTCCTCTTGTTAGCGTAACTATTCTGCCTACTCTGAGCTGTAGTCTACCGCTGTCGAATCAACTTGATCTTCTCTGTAGTTTCAATGGCTATATCGGGACCCAAGGCGACTATATCACCTACCTCAGTTTAATAAACTGGAGATCTGTAAGGTCTACCATACAACGCCTCAAAAAGGTGCTATGCTAATACTGGTTGATAATTGTTATTGTAGGAAAACTTAACCAAAGGCAAGTAGTCTTCCCAATTACCCCCAAAATACAAGATACAAACCCATAGCATATCCTCCAATATCTGAATGGTACGCTCTAACTGACCATCATTCTGAGGATGGAATGCCGTCCTGAAGTGAAGCCTCGTATCAAAAGCCTTTTGAAAGCCCTGCCAAAAGTGAGACGTGAACCGAGGATCCCTATCCGAAACAATGGATACAG